CTTTTGTTGTTTCCAGCCATGATTATTTTATTTTCCAACGTATTGGCTTGAAAAGTTTGCCCCTCTGTTGTCCCTAATGAACACCTCTGCAGCCTCATTTACCTTACGACTCACAACTCTCAAACCTCACTCCTCTGTGAGTCTCTGCACTGGCTTACTGTTTCTTTGAGGATTTGGTTTAAACTTCTCATGCTTACTTATAAAGCTCTACATAACTGTGACCCTGCCTATATCTCCTCTCTGAAAAGCAGATATGTCCCAACCTGCCCTCTTCGCTCCACCAGTGACCTGTTACCGTCCCGTTCTTGTACTGCACCTGCAGAACTTCTCCACATCTTTTAGGATTGCCCTCCCACGCCACATTCAACTCTTCCCACCTCTGCAGTGCTACCAAAAATACTAAAAAACACATTTATATAGAGAAGCCCATTAGCTTACCCCTTAAATCCTCATCCCTGATATACTTCCTCTGCTGTCTACCATCTGCTGTGCTCTTTCTTCCCAAACACCGCTTGGATCCATTCAGGATTATAGAGATCATTTGATTCCATCACTTCCCTCTTTCTATTTACCTCTCATCCCTTTAGAATGTTAACTTCTGTTTTTGTATGTGAAACATGTTTAGTTATAACTAATTGTTTGTCTTGTTTTAAATATTGTACAGCACAGTGGAATATGTTGTTGCTATATAAATAATTGTAATTGTAACAAAAACCACAAACTTTTTCATGTCTTAAAGGACCACTATAGGCACCCAGACCACTTCAGCTTAATGAAGTGGTCTGGGTGCCAGGTCCCTCTAGTTTTAACCCTACAGCTGAAAACATAGCAGTTTCAGAGAAACTGTTATGTTTCACTGAGGGTGAATGCAGCCCGCTAGAGGCGTTTCCGCGATTCTCACTGTGAAAATCACAGTGAGAAGACGCTGGACGTCCATAAGAAAGCATTGAGTAATGCTTTCCTATGGGCGGTTTGAATGCGCACGTGCCTCTTGTTGCTCATGTGCATTCGGAGCTGATGTCGGCAGAGGGAGGAGAGTTCCTCAGCACCGAGGGAGCCCGGTGCTGGAGAAAGGTAAGTGGCTGAAGGGGTTTTAACCCCTTAAGCCCAGCAGTAGGGGGGCCACGAGGGTCGCGGGGGCCCTAATGACCCTATAGTGCCAGGAAAACGAGTTTGTTTTCCTGGCACTATAGTGCTCCTTTAAGAGAACATTTAATCCATTTTCATATTCTTGTTGCTTTTATTCATTTAGTCTTCTCTCTTGATAATGATTTGATGGGAGATAGGGTTTGGTATTATCCGTTCGTTAAGAGGAATAATTACACAAATTATGGCACCATCCGTGCAGCATGGCATTCTAATAGGGCTGATACTGGTCCTTTTCTATTTCTCTTCTCTGTGTAGGTCCTCCTATGGTCAAAGAGTTCTGTTCACAAGTGCTGCATCTATTGTATTTTCTAACTCACATGAGTAGTTTATTCATGCATTTAATAATTCATGTCAGCATTGGGGTTATAGCCAAAAATAGCTTGCAAGAGCTGCAGTTCTTATGCCTTAAGCCTTTGCAAGCCCTCTCCTTTTTACTCCAGCACAGACTTTCAGCCTGAAAGTATGTGCTGGGGAATGGGCAGTCAGACCCCTCTCGTTGAGAAACCTATGATTCAAAGGCACAAGTGCGCGCAGGCATTTCATGTGAAAGTGCATGACAAAAAAGGGTGCCTGTTAGGAAAATGCAGCTGGGGAAGAGGAAGCAGGTGCCAGGAGGACAGGTAAGATGGAATCCTGTAAGCATGCACTCACTGGTGTGGACAAGCTCACTGGCTCTTGTATAGAGTGCCTACAACATCCATTATTTTAGTGGAACTAACGAAAGGGGGAAGCAAGCCTCAATCTGACAGCTAGATAGGTGCTTTATAATTTAATTATTAAAAAAAAAAATTGTCACTTTTATAAACTGAAATTAAAATAGAATATTATTCAAACTGAAGTGCTTTGTGGTTGTGGAGTGTTTCTTTAAGATTAATGTAACCATAGAAATAATCATAAATAATAATGGATATTTATACAGCAATTTGCTAGATGAAAAAAATATATATAATATAATGTAGTATTAAAATTGTGCAAGTGTGTGCATAAATCTATAGGTCGTGCACTCACATGGACTAGAGACAGATAAGTACAAGCTCAAATCTCACAGACAGATGTTTTCTTGGGAAACACAGGTTCTCTTCTGTCTTTATCCACATATACTCAGAGGGAGACACAAAGAAAAAAGCAAATAGCATCTGGTGAAGTACAGTAAACTAAGGGTGAACAACACTTAAAAGGTATGAATCCAGCTCACCTTATTCAGAGCCAATGAATAAGGTATTCTGGTATAGCCAGCAGGACCGCCATCAGGGGGTGACAACCATGATGGTTGTCACGGGCCCGGCTGTCCTGGGGGCCCGGACTGCATCTGTACTTAACA